TGCCCTTGAAAGGGACATTGAGACCTTTCACTTTCTTTCTGTTTCCTTTTTTGGTTCTTTGGTCACCATAGGGCAAGAACCTTCCTTTTTGACCTGTGTTCCCTACCCATGAGGTTTTGTTCCATCAGACTGAAACCTCCAAAACATTTTTATTATTAAGTAATTGCTTTATTTGTTTAATCCCAAATGTTGCCCCTCCTGGTTCCCCCTGCAGAGTTCTTTCCTCTCGCCTTAGCCTCTGAGAGGGTGCTCCCCAGCTATCCCCTCACACCCTGGGACATCAAGTCCTCTGAAACTTTTAATTCAAAGTAAATCATTCTTTTAAGCCCAACCATTCTTTTAAGTTCCCAACCATCCTAATGCTGGGACCCTTTAATACAGTTGTGGCAACCCCCAACCATAAAATTATTTTTGTTGCTACTTCATAACAGTTATCTTGCTACTGTTATGAATTGCAATGTAACCATCTGATATATAAGCTATCCAGTATGCAACTCCTGTGAAAGGGTCCTATAAGCCCCTAAAGGCTAGCCAACCACTGCTCTAAGTTGCCTAGCTGAAGTATTTTGTCACACCCATAAAAAGCTGCTTAACGAAGGATCAAAGAAGAAATCTGAAGTTTGACACCAAAAAAGGTGCCACAGTGATGGCGCCCGCCTTTAATTCCAGCACTTGGGAGGCAGAGGCAGGTGGATTTCTGAGTTTGAGGCCAGCCTGGTCTACAGAGTGAGTTTCAGGGCAGCCAGAGCTACACAGAGAAACCCTGTCTCGAAAAACCAAAAAAAAAAAAAAAAAAGTGCCACGTGCTAAGGTAATTAGTACTGAAGGTTTTTCAAATGAAGACAGAAGCCTCTTGCTCTGATCTCCTATCGTGTCCTTGTTTGAGCTACTGTAGGTTCAGGGAACTTTTCCCTTCCTTGTGCAGCCAGCCCATGGAAGGCTGGGACAAGACCAGAATTTCAAGGGCCTGGCTCCCAAGGAAAGCGAGGGAGGATAACACACGTGGAACAAAAGTGTTAGGACAGTTTCTGAGATTTCATGTGACATCAGTTTGATGGAACCCCCACAACAATGTCTTAGATGTGTCTGATTCTGTGCACAGAGGTTTGGGGCAAACAATCAGCTTCCCATTGAGGAGACAATGCCACAATGTGCTTTTTAATGAAAAAGTAAAGAAATGAAAACTAGCCATCTGTTTTCCTCATTCCTGCAGGTGCCCAACCAGGTTGACTCGCTGGAGTGCATTTTCTGCATTCTTAATAGATAGCTAGAAGGAAACGCCTTACACAGCCCCAGCTAGAGGGGTAGAGATTTTCAAAGGGAGGGTATACATCTCCAGCTCCCGCTTCCACGGTTGTTGAGCTACTCCAAAACTGGAGGATTTTGCTGTCCTGGGAAATTGCTGAAAATTAAGGTAAGAGAAGCTGGAGACTTGGGAGTGGGAAGAGGGATGGAAATTCATATGGGACTGAGTTGGAGGTCATGGTAGACTGTACTGAGATTTCATCGAGTCTTGGGGGGGGGTTCCAGTTGGTCATTTTGATAACCATCATCACTGACTCTGTACCCCGACTTAGGAATACTGGATGTGTTCTGCAGCAGTGTGGTCAAAGTGTCCATAGAGTATCCATGTGGCAGACTTCTGGTTTTGGATTACTTCTTCTGAGTTGTTCTACTACAGTAGTTTGTTTGAATAATAGTCCAGGATCTACTTGAAACACTCTGGGTCAGTCAGCTTTGCAGTATCTTTTTCTCCCAGGCCAGACTGCCTCTCTCATTACTCAGGAATATTCACACAAAGCTCTCCTCGGAAGATGAGGCGCTTGAGTTTTTCATAGGGATTAAATCAAATGATAATTCTCAGAAAGTGTATCCTTTTAGAATTGATTTACTCCTCTCTCTCTCTCTCTCTCTCTCTCTCTCTCTCTCTCTCTCTCTCTCACTCTTAGTAGAGGTTTCACTGTATTGCCCATTGTCCAGTCTTCTCTTTAACTTCTAGGCTCAAATGGCCCTCTCGCTCCAGCCTTCTCAGCAAGCTAGAACCACGTGGATAAGTCACAATATCCAGGTTAACTCTCTGGATTTAAATATCAACTGCAATTTCTCCCCAGTGGAATCAGATAGAGCCCAGAGAATCCCTTGTAGGTTGGATCCTGAGAAGTAATACTAGCTGAGTGTGTGTTCCTGTGTGCAGAGAGAAAAAGAGGGGCAGGATAGAACTTGGGGTCGATTCAGCGTCTCCACTTGTCTGCTTAGCCCTCCAAATGAGCTGGGCTAAAACACCGCCTCTGGGATGCTGATCTCTAGCTTTTTCTGGTCTGATCATTTGCCATGTGCTTTCTTAGTGTATACCCAGTGAGACTAGAAATGTGGTTGTGGCATGCTGTCCTAAGAATCTGGCTAGTTCTTTCTGTGTAGCTTCGGAGGAAATTAACAAAGAGATTGCAAGCTGGGTCAAGCCTAAGCCAATCAGGATGGCTGCTGGCAAAGTGGAGCCTGAAAAGGACTAAGCAGCACCTGCTGCATCACACAGTTGGAGCCTTCAAGGAAAAGCCAGAAGGAGAAAACTGGAAGTTTTGCATTCCTTGAGAGAATTCATATGGCTGCCTTAGTGTCCTGGCTCATGGCCCATCCCCACATTTGATAGATGGAGAGACCGAGTCAAGAAGGGGGACAGAGCCTTTTCCACTCATCAGGTAGGGGTGAAGGAATAATTGGAAGCAGATTGAGGCTGGAGTCCAAGAGACTCGAATCTGAATGCCAGCTCTGCCTCTACCTAGTTTTACTTCACCCTTTCTAGCATCTACTTTGCTTTTTTTTTTTTAAATGGGAGTATAACGCTTACTTTGAAGGTCAAAGAACTGGAGAAGATACATGAGCAGCTTCCGGTATGAACAGATGTTTTAAAGACTGTAGCTTTAAAATGCTACTGTCTCCACATACTCATTCCTTTATCCTTCTCAACACATTTTTTTTTGTACTGTCATCTCCATGAATGTGAATATGCATCATATTTTTATCAAGGAGTAATTCAGCTACTGTGAAATAGATCTTGAGTGTATTACTTGATGAGTTTTGACAAGTGTCGACACCACAACCCTCATCAAGACAAAAGTAAGACATGGCCAGCACGGGGTGGCACCCATGATTTCTGACTTCTAGCACCATAAATTATTTGTGCTTGTTTCATGTAAGTGAAATCATATATGTGATCTACTTTATTTGTTCTTTTCACTCAATATAATGAGATTTACCTGAGTTGTGTGTAATGATCGCTTGTTCTACTTTATTGCTGAGTAATATTCCATTGTATGAATACATCACAGAAAATATATTTTCCAAGTATGACTCATTTAAGCCATTTCATTTTGGGGGCTATGATAAACAAAACTGTCATGAGTGCATCTGTAGAAATATTCATGTGTACATGGCTTGGGTAGCAGTATTCTGAAAGGAGAGCCATTTAGAAAGAGCCCCTGAATCTGGCACTCAAGAGGCAGAGACAGGCAGAATCCTGAGTTTGAGACCAGCCTGGTTACAAAGTGAGTTCCAGGACAGCCTGGGATACAGAGAGAAACTCTGTGTCTTGAAAAAGGAAACAAATTAGAAACATCCCCTGCTTGTTGCCAGATTCCATTCTAATGTCTTCAGCACCATCTAACCATAAAAGAACCATATAAGCCTAGGCTGAAGAATTCACACTTCACATCCTCCTAAGAATAATAAGAAGCCTTGAGGAATTTATTGTCCTCCACCTCAAGGTTATGCACTGGGGAAAACCTCAAGCCTTCTGACTCCTAATCTATGATTTCCTTGCATTTTACTTCCACTATAGGAAATGATATTCATCGTTTATTGAGCACTTATTTGTGCTCAAACATCAAGAAATTTCTAAGAAAGACTCTATGATGTATAGGATCTCATAGATGAGGCAGAGTGGCAATCTATTAATCATTAGGTTTTTTTTATATTCACAAGATTAGCTACATTAAATTGATCTTTAGCCAGAGCACACAGCAAGTCAGGTTGTGTTTGAAGGTAACCAATGGTCCCAGGTGGGCTATTTCCCTAGTAAAGGGAGCCAGATCCTGGCCTTGATGCAAATAGATACTCTTACTTGGAGGAACTGACAAGGTTGGCCCTGCTAGTGTGGATGATGCAGTCCAACTCCAAGGCAGTTCAGCAAGCAGGTGGTGAGCAGTGGACGGAATGTAGCCTTTCACTTTCCACTAATGTGGATATGATGGACTACCATAGAAGTGGGGTTGTTTGGAAATTTCTTTTTTTGTTATGAATATGTGTATCTGAAGACTTCAGAGCTGGCTCTGCTGTAATCGCTGGTTTCTAAGATGGAGTGGGTTCTGTGCAGGACAGACTCATGCACAAGACATTGGGAGGCTCTTGAAGCTTTCATGTGATTTACTATCTTGCATGGAAGTGGTCACGCTGGAAAGCAGTGCTGGGGGCAGTATCTAGCCCACCCTGGATTGCTTGGCCAAGCCCTCTAGAGAATCTGCCTGAAGTAGCTCTGGATTGACCTTTCATTTGGGAGGGACTTAACTTTTGTTATTTGGCCTCCATGCTCTGCCACCTCCTCTCTCCTAATTCTTTTGTAGTCTAGCTGCTTGACAGGCCCCATTTTGTAAGAGAAGGCCACTATCAGTTCCTGGCTGACCTTTGAAGTGCTGTTTTCTGAACCCTGATTATATTGGGCTTGCTTGGTTTTCAAGAACCCTGTGGCTCCTTGTGGGGTCCATTGAGGCCCTTTAGCCAACTGTTTATCCTTAAGAACGGGGGCAACATAGTCAAAGTATGTTATGCACTGAACGAAAATGTCCTTCTGAAACTCATTTGTAAGTGTCAATTTTTAAAAAAAAAAAAGAAAAAGAAAGGAAGAAAAGAATGCCATTTACCCAAACTGTAACTGAGCTACTTGGTAAAATAGGATCAAGGACATTTTTCATTTGGTTGACAGCTATCACCGGTGTCACTCGCTGACAATGGAAGAAATGAAGAAGACTGGTGTCCGGATGCCCAAAAGCAGGCAAAAACCAATAAAGACGGAGTGGAATCCCCGGTGTGTCCTTTTCACCTACTTCCAAGGGGACATCAGTAGCGTGGTGGATGAACACTTCTCCAGAGCTCTGAGTAACCTCAAGAGGCCCCAGGAATTGAGTTCCTCAAGCCACAGTGAAAATGTGCTCCTCAAGAATGGTGAGCATGTTGGGAAGGAGGAAGCTTTCACTGAAAGACCAGTTCTTTGTGGTATTCCAGGTTCTTGGGTATGTGTGTATGGTAAAGGCAAGTCACGCTGCCTACTGAGAAACTATAACACTTCTTAGACAGATAAGATAAAATTGACAGTTCTTAGTCAAATGAGCCCACTGTCACTGTTTCCATGATTGTCTTAAAGGCTGAGTTTTCTGCTCTGGACACAATAAGAGCTCTACCCTTCATGTTGAGCTGCTTATCAGTGGTATTATTATTACAATTGGGCTGAGGGCAAGAACACTAAAGCTTCCTTGCCCGAGCCTCCTGCCAGCCAGTAGTGGATGGTCTGGCAAGCAAGGGCAAAGCCGGACAGAGGCCCATGGAGGAGTCTTGCCACATGCCTCTCCCACCCCTCACAAGGTTGGGGGTATCTATTGCTCAAGAGAGCTATGTCACAATGTGTAATTAAAACGCTCAGGTTTCTAGGGGTGGGGGGAGCCATGGACATGGAGCAGGGGCCATGGTATGTATGCCTTCCACAGACCTTAGACACTGTTGCCTTCATGGATCCCTTCCTTCACAAAAATTGCAATGTATAATTGCATTTGTATAAAAATGAATTTGACCCAGACCGGACTATTCTTTTTTCATCTGTAGAATATCAATCTGTTTCATAGTCTTCTGGTTTTAAAACAAAAATGTCTAGATTTGTAAAAGTATTCGTGGACTGTAGACACTGTGACCTCTGTATCTGATGGGATTAGGCAGTCTGGCTCCCTTTTATGTTGTTCTTGACGTGTATTGCAGACTGGGGCCTAAATGTTTTCAGGAGTTCACTACTTCTGTGGCCACACACACATGGCTTGTTTTATAAGAGGATGTATGGATCAGTAAGTGGGGGAGATTTATGCAAAGTAGACATGTGAAGCCCCTGTCTGTATGCAAGGACATCTATTCTCAGACTCTGTCATCCTGCCTTTATTCTTCAAGAGTAGATAAGGCATCTGTGTGTACCTGATGTGCTGACCTTAGCAGAATTTACCTCTTTCCTAGAAGTCAATTTGCTGGGTAACTGATGTGATTTTCAGAATCTTGTGGATTAGAATGATGTGGAAGAACATATGGTACTGGATACTCAATCTGGTGTTGTTTCCCAACTACTCCCCACAATTTCTGACTCATGGAAGTCACTCAGTAAATGCTGCTTGGGTGAATGGAACTGATTTGGAGCACAGCATACACACACACACTGGACATGTTGCAAAGAAAATGAATTCATTCTGGAGGTGTTGCTATGTTGATAGAGTACTTGTCTAACATGCCTGGAGCCTTGGATTTGAGCTTTAGTGACACATAAAGTAGGTGTGGTGTCACATTCTTATAATCTTAGCATGTGGAACATGGATGCAGGAAGACAAGGAGTTCAAAGCCAGCCTAAGAGTACATGAGACCTTGTCTCAAAAAGAAAAGATTTATTATAGTACAGGGTTCTGAGCCAAGGACCTACTTCTTCTACTGTCTTCTTATAGACAGAGACCCAAGGCAGTGCAATGCAGTGCATCATATAGCAAGGAACAAGGAAATTATGTATATTATCTGGCTTCTCTCCTCCTTGTCATAAAGTCACATGTAATAGCAATTTTGATATTATTCTCTAATCCCTAATCATCCTCCAAAGAGCCCTCCTGAATTACAAGAGACTACATTTTGACCCTTTTAATACCTCACAAGAGAGATTAAGATCCAGTAGTGGAAGTTTCAGAGGAGACATGCCACATTGACTCCTTGGACTATAAGGCCACCACAGAAAAGGACCACTTTCAGATGTGTAGACTTAGAAGCGGTTAGCCTAGACCTGTGTCCTCAATGCTAAAATTGAAAATTATTGAGCTCTAAGATGTTTTTGAGCAGTCAGTGGGACAATGGATAGTGGCAATGTGGCCCAGTGCCCCATTTGTAGGATGGTGCCATACAAGCGTAGCACAGTGTTCTGAATGGATATTATGGCTATGATGGCCTTCATTTAAAACATTAGGGTCAGAGAGCATCAGGCCCCTTCCTATGACCTTTTATGTTGTATGAAAGCTTTGCTGTGTGGCTGTTTTAGTGTTTTCTGGGCCTTGTGGCCTCATCTTGTTTTTGTCTGGGGATCTGCTGCCTACTAAGGGGAGCTTGGGCATAGCCTTGTTTCTTGAGCAAACCAGCTTCCACAGGCCCAAGAGAGGTGGAGGGGGGTGGCTTTCTTCTCCACTTAGCTTCATGGATATTTCACTTTCCTTATGACAATCTCACAGATCCCCTACATGTTGTCTCATTTGGTTCTGGGCTAAGCTGAGTGAGCAACTGAAGGAAAGACTGTCTCTCTCAAGGCCTTCCTTGTCACAGGAGTCCGGTTTCTACTAAGCTTGGTTGCTTCAAGGGAGAGCCCCTTGAAGGAACTCTAGGCCTGTAGATGTTCCCATTGGTGGTATTATATGACACACCACCAGCCTCAGACATGATGGAACTCTATGAAGCAACCTTTCATTACTGACTGCTGTTTAGCATTCTCTTAACCCCTTCAGGCCAACCTCAGGCAGCCCAGCCTCAGCTCAGCCAGACAGAGGAGAACAGGCTTTCATTCACAAGCACCCATATGAGATTTGCCGACATTCTAAAGGCACTCTGTCAAGCCCACTATGCAAGGCTCAAACACAGAGACCTATATGGAAATCCTACCAAATATCCTGGCTTTTTTCCCCTAAGTCAGAGTTATTATTATTTTTTTAATTATATGTATATAATGTACAACAACTGTATTTTGGAAAAGAAAATAGCTGAAGAGATCTTCAAGTTATCTCCTTTTTTAGAGGACACTGGGGGCTTCAGATTTAGTACCTGGTAAGAAATAGATGTGAGGTCTTGAGGCAGGGTATGGTCCTGGTGCTCATGGGGCTTATTTTAACCTGTGTTTTTCCCATTCCCCTCCTCTTAGCACAAGTCTCACGTACACTACCATACACCTGGTAAATGTGCCCAAGGGCTGCTGGGAGAAGATTGGGATGCTGCGCTAAACCTGCACAGGTTTCCCACAGACATTTTCAAAGGCTTCCTATCTGCTACTGTTAAGGGGATGGAAAAAAAGCACACCATGCTTTTCATCTTCTGGAGGATATCTATGTGAAATACAGTCATGCTACCTGCTTATGGTCCCTTGAGTACTGCCAAGGTGGTGCCTCCCTTTCTAGTAAGAGAAAGGAGTTTGTACCTATGTATGTCCCTAGCCTCTGTGAGGTACCAGATAGTACATCAAAATAATTGCTTTCCTGTATTCCTCAAAATTGACCATCTAATGGCTTTGATAGGCTTCAAAGATAAGCAGGCAGAATGTAGTGCACACATCTGAAACCCCAGCACCTGGGAGACTGAGGAAGAATGACTGTGAGTTTGAGGCCTGTGTAGGCTCTGTGGGAGAGAATTTCTTGCTTTTTAAGGCAAGCAATCCAAATCCACAGTGCTCACCTGTGTGTGTGTGTGTGTCTGTGTGTGTGTGTGTGTGTTTTCAATCATGTAAAGGCCCTTTGGTGGAATATTGTATTGTATCTTTACACTAACCCTATTGATTCCTGTGCCCATATTTCTGTTGAGAAAACTGAGGTGCATAGTCTAGACACCTGTCAATCTTACCACAGAGGTAAGAGTCACTGTACAGTACTGTCAGCCATCCAACTGAAGATACCAACACATGTTTTGCATCAGGTCTCTTTCAGTTAGAAAAACAAACCTGGATGTTTAGCAAACAGAGATTAGGTGTCCTGGAGCAGTGACTATGAAGGAGAAGATAGATCTAAGCAGGCCTCTTCACTGTCCCAGAATAGAAGTGTCTTTCTAAGCTAATCCTCCAATTATGGCATGATTTTGTTAGTAATTAGTTCAAATAGCATACATTTTTGTTTTGGGGTGAATAATATATGGAGGGACACCAGCCACACGGATAGAGAGCGCAAAGCCAACATGTGTAGACTGTGGTGGCCAAAAGTAGTTGGACTTTCCTGTTGTAAGGTATACATGTGTGTGCATGTGCATGTGTGTGTGTGCATCTATGTATGTGTGTGTGTGTGGTGTGTGTGTGTGTGTGTGTGTATTTTGAAGGAAGTACCTTGCTATACGGAGTGATAATGCTCTAGTTCTAAAGACAATGAAAGAGAAAGAAGAAGGAAGGTAGAGGAGAGGGATGGGGAGGAAAAAGGAGGAGGAAGAAAAGAAAGAGTCTAAGGAAAGGCAATCAATCAATTATATATTCTTCACAGTGTGACTCATATTTTGGATATCTACAAGTCAAGTCATTTTTAAATGTTTTTGGATTTAAAAATCATTTAGCTGGATGTAGTGAGGTTTGCCTTTAGTCCCAGCTACTCAAGAAGCAGAGGCAGGAGGATTGTTTGAGACTAGTTCAGGGCCAATGGAGGAATAATAGTGAGACTGTAAAAAAAAAACTGATTTTCTTTACCTTGAAAATAATATGCTCATTTTGAAAATTTAGAAAACACAAATGCACACACTTCAATTTTATACAGAACCACTTTGCATATAATAGATTGTAATCTGTATTTTATTTGACAAGCAGAATGATACATCTTTGTGTCTTTGTTATATAATCTATGACTTTATTTTATAGTTCAAGAGCATCACTTTTTAGATAGATGACATACACTAATTTTGTAACATCTTGATTATTGCTAACCTTCCATATAGTATTCACATCACTGTAAGCATCCTTGCAGCTAAATTTTTGCTTGTATCTTTGACTGTATCTTTAAACTGTTGGTGATGGAATAACCAAGGCTGTAGTTTGGTTACACACTGAATGTGTCCCCAGTAAAGTTTCAGTGTGCTGATATGAGAGACAGAAAGATCTTTTTTTCACATCCGAGGGGAGGGGGCATGGGCAGCTCTTATCTATGGGGATTTGTGTGTGTGTATGTGTGTGTGTGTGTGTGTGTGTGTGTGTGTAGGAATTCTTT